TCATCCCAAATAATCCTGTACACCAATTGCATGCCCTACAAAATCTGACCCATCGCGCAAACCAGGTACAAAACAAGTGTCCGTTGCAACATATCACAGTCGGTTTCTACCGGTTTCTTCGCGACTCGGGACCAGTATACCGTTCCAAGCCAGCTAACTCGTTATGTATCCATCGATCACCAGCAGTCAAAGATGATCGCTGCAGCAGCTCAGCGACTTCGATCGAGTTCCATGCACACCCTGAAGACCTACGACAAGAGCGAGCACCGCCTCCTCGTCGTCGGTGGCAGCGGCTTGTGGGTAGCAACGTCCTGCAACGCGCCGTGCAAAAGGGGATCGAGGTGCGCAGTCTCAACCGCTCAGGCAAACCGCAGTGGCAGGACGTGCCGTGGATTGACCAAGGTGGATTGGCGCTCGGGGAGCGTCTTCAATGAGGAGGATCCGGCAGAGGCTGCTCTGACGGTGTCACTGGTGTCAGTACGTGTCCAATAGATACTGGAGGTTGCTTGAAGCAGTGTGCACTTGCACTGACAAGTACGTTGACGCCTCATCAATTTGTGTCTGTTCGTGTCCCGATGTCTCTGCTGCTAGTCTCGACGGTAGGTGCCTTTGGGAGCCAGGAGTTTATGGAGAAAATGTGCGGAGACGCGACGATTCAAGTGGCCCGGGCGGCGCAGAAGTCAGGTGTGGAACGATTCGTGTTCGTGTCCAACTCTCGCGTTGGCTCGTGCTACCCGTCGTGGCTACCGTTGTGGATGGCTATTACCATGGAAAAAGAGCGAGCAGAAGCTGTTGTGCAAGCCAGGTGAGGAGATTTGAGGTGTGGAAGCTTTTTTTGTTGAGGTGGATCTTTTTCTGATGTCCGGTGGTTGATGGGTGTCGTAGCTTCCCAAGTACAGGGGTGGTACTGCGTCCAGGCTTTATCTATGGCTGGCGTCGGACGGCGAAAGGACAAGGCATCCCACTTCAACTTGTTGGTGCGCCTGTATCGATGCTTGCACGCAACCTTGGTGCCGTGTCAACTGCATTGGGCTATGTGCCATTCATTGGGGAGGAGACGCGGGCTGCTATTCCTGTTGATGCAGTTGCGAAGGCGGCAGTGCTCAGTGCTATCGGTCCCGTCCAAGGACAAACGCTGGACACAACCAAGATGCTTGAGGTAGCTGCTTCTTTCCACGTCCATGAGTGAGATACTGGCAAAGGACATCACGGTGGCGGAAATGTACCAGAACCTCTGCAGGTAGAAGATGCTCCCGCCGCATTGTAAACCACGAGAGTACGATCCGCATTCGGATGCAGCAGCTGTTGTCAGAAGTCTTCGCTAATGTTGCCACCTTCATGCTGCCTCGGGCTTGTAAGTCAAACCGATAACAGCTTCTCTGTGCTCCTCTGTTCAGTCGTCCATTCTCGCAGATAAAGTAGGCCAAAACAACGTACACTCGTAACCACATCTGTCACTTCTTATGCAGCTTTGAACGTACCAGATACTCCATAGCGCTGGCTGAGAGATCATGCAAACACCCAATTTCATGTCCGTGCCTATTTAACCCACCCATCTTGTCCCGAGTGATCAGTCACCACAGTAGCGTTACGATTGGGTACGATGTTGAAGTGGCCACACGATGCTCCCCCTCGAAATGTGATTGGCTATATTCGACTCGCACGACCACCGAATCTAGATCGACGCACGTTTTGTCAATACGACAACATGAAGAGCTCCGTAAACAGCCCGAGTGACCTTCTCTTCCTGAATTTCAACCAGGACGCCTCGTACGTCCGCCCACAAACAACAGACGGAGCTTCCTTTTCTCTACTTCATTGCTTGTTATCGGTTCAATACGATAGACTATTGACAGGTGCTCGTTCTCTGTAGATGCATCAGCGTCGGCACTCGCCAAGGGTTTGGTATCTACAACTGTGAACCTTTCAGCAAGTGCTTCCAGGAAGATATTGGGGGCATCGGGATCGCTGAGATGCTGTATTGTACCAGTCTTGTGGCTCTGGTTGGTGCTGGAGATCAGGTAGGTCACGTACAGAGCAAATGGGGTGGTGAGTGACAAGGCCGCTGCTATTTACTCCCTCACGTCTGAATATTTGCTTCTTGTTCTGTTTTTATCGTACATTCTTTAGCCTGCGTTCTCACCGCGTCGACTGCGTGTGTGGAACACCAAGACAGGAGCAGCGATATGTGATTTGAACTTTGTCACGGCCGTGTTGGCCGTGCGTATGAACCGACAGAGGTACATTGTGCGTGGTTGAATGCCTGACCTTAGATGATAGAGGGTAAAGATACGTGTGAGTGGGTGAGATTTTGCTGAAGTGAACGTGTTCTTCTGGCATAGGTTGATTGCAGTACTGGAGCGCAAGATTTACATCTTTGACATTAGCACCATGAAGATTCTGGAGACGTTGGACACGTCCCCGAATCCCAAAGCGTTGTGTGTGCTCTCTCCGCACGACAATGGACATCTAGCTTTCCCCTCTGGAGCTATGCCAGGAGAGATCGTGCTGTATGATGCCAACAACCTTGGTGTGCTGAACGCATTTCAGGCACATCGCACGGCACCCGTGTCGATGGCATTCAACATTCATAGCACACTACTTGCAACAGCTTCCGAGTCGGTAAGAAGCCTTCGATGACGATTTGTTCTTGATCGAGGTTTGCAGTAACCATGTCGCGATTTGTGCTGTAGGGAACACTGATCCGTGTGTTTGCCGTTCCAAGTGGGACGAAAGTTGCGGCCTTTCGACGAGGGTCCTATGGTGCTCAAGTCTACTGTCTAGCCTTCAACGAGAGCTCCACGATTCTGTGTGCTTCGAGTGACACAGGTACCATCCACTTCTTCTCTCTAACTGGGGCGGAAAGTTCGGCTACAGGTAGCTTCGGTCATTTCACGCCGATCACGTTTACACTGGCTGTCGCTGGAAGCACCTTCGGCTCCACGGTCTTTGGCAGTGCTGCTGCTCCATCCAGCTCGGTCCCAACAACCGTTGACTCTTCGCCTGGCAAACCCTCGGCAAATGCTGTCAACGTCAGTACCACGACACGGACGACGCGTAGTACCAGCTCTGCTGTCACCAATTTTGATGAGGTGGCTGCAGTCATGAGTGCGTATCTGCCCAGCTCTTTTTCGGGTATTGCCGAAGGAACTCGCGACTTTGCCTATGTAAGCAATACGTTGTTGGAAGTTGACGAGGTTGCTTCACTTCAACCGGTTGCTAACTTGTTACTTCCAGGCTCGACTTGGCTCTACTGGAGTACCAAACCAGTGTGCAATCCATGGTCCTAGGGACAACGATAACCCGATCGTACAGTTATATGTCGCAACTGCCGACGGCTACTTTTACGAGTACTCGCTGAACCTTACTATCGGGGGCAAATGCAAGCTGGAACGGGTACGTGACGTTTGTCTTGCTCGTCTTTCGTGGACTCATCATCGTGTGCTTTCTTGGTGATAGGAAAACGTCATTCGCGATAGCACGTCCGAAGAGATCGAGGCCATCTACATGTCGTAGTAACATTTCTGCCGAACATCTTCGATGCTGATGCATTTACTGGACGATGACACTCCTCTTTCCAGACGCGATAGGTGACAACATCTAACACGCGCAGAAAATGAATGTACAAAGAAAGCGACGTGGATGTATTCCTAAACACGAGCTGGGCAACTAGACCCTGAGGCCACGTGTCTATGACGCAAGACTGCAAACCTTGTGTGGCGTAAGTCACCGATTGGGGCAACCACTTCTACTTGAATCGAGAGTCACTTGGGCAGGCTGTACAACATTATACCAGCTTCTCAAACGCGATGCCCCGAACACTGTGCCCACGCAAAGATTGCCGCACCATTGCAGCGAATTGCGCAGGGTCATTCCGAAACAATTCTGCAGCTTCTGCTCTCACAATAAAAACGAATACAGTGTCAACTCCAAAGCTTCCAGCATCATGCCAATGTAATCGTCCGTATGGCGCGCACCTTTATTCAACGGATCGTCTGGATTTGGCTCGTAGAAGAGGTAGATCAGACCATAAATGACCGAGTTGATGTCCAATACGGGCTTCCAGTCCTCGCGTAAAATGTTTAGACACACGTTACCATCCAGGTCAATGTTCGGGTGGTATATCTGCACAGCACGATCCGTCAATGAAAGCACAACAACACGTCCGTCTACACCTCCTGTTGTCCTGAATACTAACAAACTACACCAGCCTCAGTGACTAAAACAACAACGCACCTTCGTCAGACACTGGACCTTTGGCGGGTCATGTGGATACATCTACAAATCAAGCCACAACAACAACTATAGATGAGATTTCTGCGCAAGACAAATGACACCCTCATTCACTTCTGTAGTCTCCCCATACAGGCGGGATCTTGAAACTAAAGGCGAACGACGCGCCTTTCCACAGACCCGTGTCCACGGCAATCTGGTCCAACCACAAGCCCAATCAGTCTCGACCTTTTAGAAATGCGTCTGTGAGTGTGTCCCACACAAAACCCTCGCACCTTGACAGTAAATACTGTAAGATCGTTCACTTCCGGGAACGTGACGGTCGCGGCCTTCCCGCCATCCAGCTCCGCAATGTCTTCAATAAAAAAACACACAGCACAACACACCCACCCACCCACCCACCATCTGTTCAGCCCTTTTTTGCACCAGGTTATTTGCAACTGCCATCGTAATCAGCAAATCGCACCTTTTTGGATCCGAATTTCGCCTGGGGTTCGTTTTTTCTCCTTGCTGATGCCGCTGCGCTTGCCACGACCGACGCCGAGGATCTTCGTCTTGGGCTTTGGGGCCGCCACCCCGGCATTGTCCCCTGCATCAAAAGCTGCTGCCTCTTCTGCCGCTTTCTTCTCTTCAGCCGCCTTTTCAGCTTGCTTGGCCTTGAGACGGATCATCGCGTGGCCTTTGAACTGACACTATGAGCAGCACGACGGCCCCAGCGCTGAGGGATCAGTAATCGAGAATGCCATGGGTTGTATATCAAGTTTCAGAGGTGAAACGTAAATGTACGTGGTCCACTTGTACAAAACAAGGCCAAATGGCTACTTTTGCATCAAATGGCTACTTTTGCATCAAATGGCTACTTTTGCATCAAATGGCTACTTTCGTACCAAATGGCTACTTCCTTCCACCTCCTCCTCCTGCTCTGACCGTCAGTGTTAATGTGCTTGACTGACTCATAGTTTCGCAGGCAGAATCTGCTTGAGCTGCGGCGTGATATCGTCGTCATCCGGATCCGTAGCGTCCGCAAAGTCCGTGATCTGAGCAAACTTGCTCTGCACCGCCTCAGGCGTGATCTCCTTCTCCAGATCGAGGAACACCCCGCGGCTGCGCATGTACTTGACCTGTGCGACGAATCCGCCGCCGCTTTCAAAGATTTTACCCGAGCACGGCACTGACTCGTGGCATAAGTACACGACCGTGGGCGCCACGTACTCGGGTTTCCACTTGGCCACGAGATCTTCGGGGATGACGGACGCCGTCATCTTGGAACCCGCGCCAGGGGCGACGATATTCACCTTGATATTCGAGCGAGCGCCTTCTTTGGCCAGTGACTTGCCAAAACCAGTCATAGCAGCCTTGACTGAGCTGTAGTTGGTCTGGCCAAACTGACCGTATAGACCGTTAATCGACGTGATGAGAACCACGCGGCCGTACTTTTGCTCGCGCATGTACGGCCACGCCGCGTGCGTGACCGCAAAAGCTACACAGGAGACGCAGTGCGAGGTGAGTCACGAACGTGAAGAGCATGTAGCTTAAACACCATTGCGGATGATGACTGCACAACGTACTTCCTTGAAGGTGGACGTCCAGCACCTGATTCCATTGAGCTTTGGTCATTTTTGCAAAGCTGGCGTCCCGCAGGATCCCAGCATTGTTCACCAAGATGTCAATGCGGCCAAAGTGATCAATGGCAGTGGCCACGACTTTGCCGCCGTCCGAGACCGAGTTGTAGTCGGCAACGGCGACGCCGCCTAGAAGACAAGAGACGAGCAGTTTACGGGGGTCAGTGCGAGTCCGTCGATCCCCTTTACTTAGCCCCTTTCGTCCACTTGTATTTGCACACCTTTGGCCTTAATCTCCTTGACGACCGAGTCAGCGGCTTCCCTGCTAAAGTCGTTAACCACCCTATAACAGCAACAACAAAACGAGACAATGATTCACTAACTACTGAGAGCGCGTTGTTTGTTGAGGAGGGAAGACATGCTGAGCCAGCAGCACGCACACTTTGGCGCCCCGCTCGGCGAAAAGGAGCGCATAGCAGCGGCCAATGCCATTGCCGGATCCCGTGATGAGAGCGATTTGGCCACCGAAGCGAAGCATGAGGAGGAGGCGGCGGCGTCTGGAGCTTGACGGGAAGACGTGAGGTGCAGATTTAGGATGTCAAGACCCAAAGAGCAGGTGGTAAAAGAGCAAATCTCAATATCGGGACCACAAATGTCCAACGTCCCAAAACCAGGACTATAGTTTAATCAAGTTTAAAATTTATCTATTTTATACTTGGGTTGAGTATGCAAACTAGCATAGTGTTTACCACATTATACTCAACTGCAACATGGGATATGAAACTGCCTGATCACTAATGAGTCTATCCAATTTTTAGACAGCTGTCGCGAGTGGTCAAAAAACGCTCTTTTTTACCCACGTTCGTTTACTTCTCAATTTGCGCACGAGCCGATGTGCCCATTTTGGTTTGGGCACATTGCGTGCGAGCCAGGGCCCGGTCGCACGCACCCGACGAGCTCGTAACCGGGGGACTCAGTTATTACACCTTGCACTGTCAATTTTGATTAAATCAAATATTCTTTATGTACGCGGTTGCAGCAACGCCAGTTCGAAAGGTTTTACAATAGGTCAGGTCAGTAGTACCGTGATTAGTGTTAATTTCGATTGCTGCAGTCACTCGAGACATCTCGAAAACTTCTTTCAGTCCACTTCTTGCGCTTACGCTTAAACGCTCAAACTAACCATTCAAAATAAACAGTCTGAGGTAGTGAACAACTTTTTAATAATGATTAATGCTTTTAAGACCAGTACTAATTTCTGAATATACATACATAACGCATGTATTACACTTGTCTTGATATTACGCCCTAGTCAGTCAAACAAACTCCTCGCACTGCAACATATCCACACGGACAAAGCACAAAAATTCGTTAAGCAGGACACTCGACACTACTTGAAACCACTCGACGCCGCTCTATATCACCGGACGCCACTTTACATCAATGGACATTACTCGACATCACTTGATTTCACTCGACATCACTTAAAACGCACTGCAACACATACATACAGACAATGCATACGATCGTTAGACAGCACAGTCAACATCGATAGAATAATTACCTGCTACCGCTGCTCATGAGAGTTAATACAATAACGGAGTTTACCAGTCACGAGCTCGTCGGGTGCGTGCGACCGGGCCCTGGCTCGCACGCAATGTGCCCAAACCAAAATGGGCACATCGGCTCGTGCGCAAATTGAGAAGTAAACGAACGTGGGTAAAAAAGAGCGTTTTTTGACCACTCGCGACAGCTGTCTAAAAATTGGATAGACTCATTAGTGATCAGGCAGTTTCATATCCCATGTTGCAGTTGAGTATAATGTGGTAAACACTATGCTAGTTTGCATACTCAACCCAAGTATAAAATAGATAAATTTTAAACTTGATTAAACTATAGTCCTGGTTTTGGGACTTTGGACATTTGTGGTCCTGATAATGAGATTTGCTCGTGGTAAAATTGGGTGATAAAAGGATGGAGAGGAATGTGGACACGCCGACGGATTTTTTTTTACCTCGAGGGAGTTTATTTTTTTATTTGTATTGGGTTTTGGAAACGGAGAGAGCATTGTGATTTCTGGGAAATCGATTGAGGGGGATCCTAAAAAATAAACAAGCAATTCGCTGAAAAAAACAAGCAATTCGCTAAAAAGCAAGTGAATAGCCGCAAAATCAGTGGATAGCCTACAAGATTGTAAACCGCCTCCAAAACATGATTGGTCCGTACGACTTTCTCTACAATTCAGCAGCCAATTCGCAATGTCTTGACATCTTTGCCTCCACGGACGCTTTTTTGGAAACCCATCCCTTCGAACACCATATTAAGTGACACCAGTTGGTCTCCCTCTAATCCCCTTCCAGCACGAACCTATGACAACTTGGAGCGGACAAAGGATGCTGCTCACGCATATGCATGGGAAAATGGTTTTGCGATTGCTGTACTAAGGTCGGCTAAATGGGGTCGTCATTTGGTTTTCCGAAAGGTGTTGGAAAATGGTGTTTACTTGGCATAAAACCGCCAAGTCCCAAGCCATCAAGGAAACGCCGCTGTCCAGAGTTGGTTTTCATTTTGTATTTTGTTGCATGCCGCCGGTGACAGACGAGGCGGATGGTGAGCACATCTCGTGCTACCTCGTTCAGGAGCGAGGAGCAGCTGCGGATCAGGGTGGTAGTTGGTAGGACAGATAACGTTGGTAATAAGCTCGCTCTGCAAAACACTTATTTGGAGACCTCCCTAGCCATGCATTTACATATAATGAGCCCAGTGGCAGGTGGCGAAGTTTTTATAGTCGCCATACCCGACTACGCAGGGAACGCGTATGGAAAAGAAGCGCAGATGGTCGCCCGCGAACTGAGCGCTACTGAGGAGGAGTACTTGGACGCTCGCGAAAGGGGAGCGCCACGTTCGAAAAAGTCTTTTCCAGGTAGCAACATTGCGGCAAAGCTGGCTAGAATCTCTTCTCGCATGTACTCGATGGAGAATAAGCATTAGGAGCCTGGACGACTTCGTACTGGAGGTCAAATGGAACCCTCTCGTTACTTTTTACAGAGGTGAGTTTAGGTCAATGGGGCAAGCACCACGACCAAACGCGATAATGGACATTGGAATTGGCGAACGGACATTAAGTTTCTTTGCCAAGCGGAGTGGAGTGCATGGCCCAGGTGCGCGTGCGTGACAAGAGAAGGCTCAATAACATTGTAAGCAGCAGCTTGAGTGCGAACGATAGCGCATGAAGCACCAGTTATGGCATGAGCTGCACCAAGGGATTGCTGAGTTTCGCCAAGGGTCAAGGGGCTACGAGCGGAACAACGGCGTTAAAACACGATGAACCTGCGTCTGCAAGAACAGCAGAAATTCTGTGTCGGTGAAAGGCTCAGGTGTAGACTGACTACATGTTCTACTTGACGTACAGTCGTCCAAGCGTTGAAGCTCACAGAATTACACACTAACTTGTCACCATAATTTAGACAAGAGTAAACGCCTTCACCAGGCTAACACTCTTACAGCACGCTATCCCTTGACTAGGCACTAGCGTCCAACGATTCAAAAGGGGAACTGAACGTTATTCTTTTCGATACGACAATAAATCCATAAAACCTTGCCTGACTGACTTCGACATTGCGATCCTATGACATAAGTCTGATTCCTTATCCTTACTCGATAAGGTGCGATATCACCGTAAGTACGTAGTACCGAGACCGTACCACTCAGATCCACCGATCTTTACTTAATGTGGACACACTACATAACCGGATCAGATCACCGCGTGTAACATCGTTACACCCTCCCCACCAAACTGTCGAAACCCTTGTGTCGACAATTCTTCGACTTCGCTTTGAGGTATGCCACAGATCGGGTCCTTGACCATCGCGTTCGCAACACATCTCAAAATGACTAGGTCAAATCGTCCATCCAACACCCTGAAAAACCGACTACGAGAGTGGCACAGCGGCTTCGAGCATCTACGACCATACTCCAGCCACGCCATCGGCGCGTGACAACACGCGCATCGCGCCAAATCCATTCGTGGAACGCGATTATGTACCTTCGACAGCGTGCAGTCGTCGAACCTGCGTCGGGTGTGTTGCACAACACTCTCGATGAAGACCAAGCGCAATATCTTCATTCGATCGACGACCGCAGGCGTCAAGCACAATTTTAGCCACAGCCAATGCTCACATTGGCTAACGCTTCACTCCACTGACTGTGTATGAGCGTATTCGTCAGATTACCGGGCAGTCACTCACAACATGGATCACGGGAACCAAGGCTGTCACAGCCACTGTAATAGCGGAGAGATAGTCTCTCAGAGCAAGATACTTGGGGGTTGAACGTATGACCGCTCAAGAGTACGTTGACAGGCTATATTTGCAAGCACAAGGTGCATCAGTGTCCGCCATGCGGACAGTACCTATCGATCTCTTTCTTGGTGAGACAGCGGCAAACAATAATGTCATCTTCACGCGTTGAGCTCACAGGGCACGTCTTCTGCCAAGCCTGTTTAAATTCCATGAGAGCGCTTCAATTGCAGACGTTCCGCTGGAACGGAAGATGCATTTCGATTTCGCCAAACAAAAGGCCAAAGGTCAAGTGCGATCGTTTTACCGCACACGCTATGCTGCTGCAGCCATGGAACCGCGCCTCAGTTAACCTGCACCTGCTGCAGCTGCAACCTTCTCCGCTCCCACACCGACTCGTGGAAAGCAGCATGTGTCGACTGACCCTGAAGACAACGTTCAAAAATGTCAACGGCGCACGGACAATCCTGCCGCAGTGGCACTTCGTACTCCCATGAGTTTTCTGAATCCGATACCCCTGCCACTGCACCAAGTAGTGGTAATGACTGTCGCGACGACGTCGCTGTATGAGGCGTTTAACATGGTACTGTTGAACCCCTTGCTCGTCAACGAGAGCCGGTGGTTGTCGATGAATCTTGACGCGTTGTCGACGAGCTAGTGCACGAGGTGCACGATCTGCAATACCGAGTGGCGCTTCTGGACGGACAACTGGATCATCTATTGAGGGTTCCTCGGCTTGTGGCATCGCCAACTCTTTCAGCGCAAGCGCCTCGTGATCCACCAGCGACGGATCAAGGAAAGCCTTAAGCAAGCCGATGTAAAACACTGGGTATGTTTGCATCGTGCGTGGGAGGTTAAGCATGTACGCAAGGCCCTTCTCGGCCACAACAGTAAACGGTCTAATGAATCGAGGACGCAACTTGGTCGCACAGACTGCTGACACGACATTGGTAGGTAGATTCTTAGCATTAAGTAAGACTAGGTCTTTAACTTCATAACTTTCATACACTTTTTGCAATTGGCATCAGCTTGTTCCTTCTGTTTGTCCTGGCTAGCAGCCATTGCATCACGTACATTTCGGTAGACGTTCGACCGCGTAACGAGAAACTCGCTCACCTGTTTTGAACAGTATGAGGGCTGACATCAGCAAGCCGATCGGCTATTCCTCCCTTAACAAGCCCAAAACCACGCAGTAGTAGTGTTTACGTAACGCGAGGGTGCGTAAGACCATTCCCGTAGAATATAGTAAAGATAGTATACACATGAACAGCGTTATGTAACGCAAACTCGAACACCTAGGGCATAGTGCTCCAACAACTAGGCGTATCAGCACGAACACTGCGCCAAATGTCACGAATGACACGGTTGACCCGCTCAGTTTGACCAACGGTCTGCGGATGATCCGCTGTGGACATGTCCAACCTAGTGCCTAGCACCTTGAAGATAGAAGTCCAAAACTTGCCAGTGAAACGCGGATCAATCCGAAACAATTGACACAGGCAAACCGTGTTGACGAACACACGGTCGATAAATAGCTTTGCTGTACCTTCGCCATCGATGGAATCAGGCACAGCTTCTTAATAAGCCAATTTGCTCAAACGATCAACAAAGAAAACAATATCTGTGCTGCCATCCGAATCCTTCTGTGGGCCAAACACGAAGTCTACACTGATGTACTCCCAACATTCAGTGGGTACGGTCAATTTAGCAAGCGGTACAACCGCATGTTCTGATGGTTTGACCCGTTGACACGTGTCACATGTACGCACATATGTACTCACCCATTTGTGCAACTTGGGCCACCAATACGTCTGGCTAACTGAGCTGTAGATCTTCTCACGACAGAGACGACCGCTCAAAGCAGTGTCATGTGCCTCAAAGATGATACGATACTTTAAGTTCTCATCATAAGAAACAACGATGCGCGGCACATCCTCGACACCCGTGGAATATCACAGCAACCCTCCATAGATGTAATATAGATGTAGGCTCGCACGTAAAGGTGCCGACGATCTGATGTCTGACTCTTTTATCCCCTCGCTTCCAAGAGAATGTAGGAATGCTACAGACTGCTCATCACATGCATATGCCGCACGCATTGAATCCACAAAGGATGACGAAATAAATGCAACATGAGCAAGCTCGTATTCAGGACGGCCTAACAACGCATGAGCCAGATCATTTTGCTTACCCGGCTTACACTGCACCTCTAATTTGTGTTCAGCAAAGAATGAAAGCCAACAACCCACACGCTGTGAGCGGTGAAGCGACTGTGTCGCAGTGCGTAACGACGCATGATCTGTGAAGATCACAAAAGGCTTTGAGACAATTAGGTGGGCTGTGATTTTGACAGGAGCATATTTTAAAGCGAATAGCTCTTTTTCGTGAATTGGATAGTACTTCTCTGCAGCTTTAAGCTGACGATATTCATACGCATTGACGCGCTCATGTCCATCGAAAACTGTCTGCAATTATGCACAACTAATAGCGAAAATCAGACGCGTCACAGACGACATTGAAAGGCCACTCAGGGTCAGGCAAAGCCAAGATTGGATCATGAGGAAGGCTTCATTTATAGCTTCATAAGTTTGAAAAAAAGCTGCGTCCCAACACCAGTCTGCATCCTTCTTGAGGAGGTTGGTTAATGGCCGTGCCAAATCAGCATAGTTTGCACTGTACTTGCGCAACTTATTAGCAAGGCCAAGACATTTACGCAAGTCCTTTGGATTCAACGTAACCGGCCAGTCAACAATTGACTTAACTTTAGCGGAATCCGCTCGAAGGCCACACTTTCTAATGAAGCACCCGAGAAAGGGAATATTTGCAGCACCAGAATGCATTATGATGCATTGGCATACAGATTGTTCGTGCGCATACACTCGAGCACTGCTCGTAAATGGTCACTGTGGTTGTCCACATCTGATCTGCCATCACCTCCACGGCCATGGACAAAGATGTCATCGCTTTGTTCATCTCCTCGGTGAGGTCGGAACAATTTTGTCTTAAGACGATTGAATGTAGCCGGAGAATCAGACATCCCTTGAGGCATAACAAGCCACTCCCAAAGCATACCGCTTGGAGTACTAACCGCTGTTAGCGGAATATTGCTCGCTCGCATGAGCAATTGATAATACCCATCGACCAAGTCGATTGCACTAATTATGGTAAAACCTACCAAAGCGTTCTGAAGAACATCCTTTTTAGGGGTAGGCGTTTGTACCGGTAATCGACTGCGTTAAGCTTACTGTAAGCATGTACAATACGCCACTTGCCATTTGGCTTCCTGACACAACTTGTCAGTGTCGAGTGTGGAGACTTGCTCTCACGCACCATGCCAGCCGCGTGCTTTGCACGAAAGAACTCGTCAATGACATCTCACTGGTCCTTTGGTAGGGGTCATTGCCGTGTCACGCAGTATTTGGTTCCAGGAACCAGGTCAATTACTTGACGTACGCCTCGATCATGAGGCAGAGTGGAAGGTAGATCGTAACACACCACACCCTGAAACACCTTAACCAAAGGATAAACGGTTACTTAGGATCTTTCAAGATCGACGACCCACTTCAAGCACTCAGTGAACGCCATCGTGTCTTCCAAGACAGCTTTGTCAAGAAGTGACGACGTGTAAAACACACTATCGGATCTAATTACTACGACTTTAGATGAGTCACCCGACTCCAAGGTCAGGCCAAAATCATCAACAGAGATTGCGTCTAGCTCTAACAGAGTATTCAGTGAGGCAAAGTTTTAAGACTCACTGACCCATAAATGTCACCAGTTACTCCATTAACGAAAGTACATAGCTGCTCGCTAGTGCCATTTAGTGACTTAACATACGCCTTGCGTTGCATAACATCACTCTGATGTCGCTTTTGTCTCTGGGACAAGACTGAATGTCTAAAAGAGACTGGAACTTTCTCGTTTCCAAGATTGATTACATCATCATCCATAACTTGCTCTGTACGAGAGCCGATGCCATTACTGACACCCGGGGCATCAATTTCCCCAAGATTGACATGACCTTTAATTTCAAGTTGATCATTACTAGAGACAATTCCATTTTTGATATCCTAAACTATACCGCCCCCAATGTGACGGAGTGCGTCAACATTAATTTGCCCAATATCAGAGCCGATGTCGCTACCGACATCTCGGACGACACCATCCCCAAGGTGACGAACGGCGTCAGCTTTAATTTGCCCAATAACAGGACCGATGTCATTATCGACATCTGGGACGACACTGTCTTCAAGGTGACTAACTGTGTCAACCTTAATTGAAACTATTTTCAATCCGATGCCATTAAAAATATCAGGTGATGAGTCACTTCCAGTGAGATCACTACGCGGTGGATACTTCTTTGCCACGCTCATCAAAAGGTCCTAGCCCTTGATGACTTGTTGTTTCATCAAAAATGTCTTGACTGACATTCAGTGAGTCGCAATCACGGCCAACATCACTCAGTGGGAACTTACGTGCCACTCCACGATCACCTGATAGGTTCGACCTATGTTGACTTGGATCTAGGCCGAAAATGCATTCATTAATCATTAATTTGTTAATACGACGATTTACACTCGACGGAGTACGTGCCGTATCACTAATAGTCATTTAGCTTGGCTCGTAATTAACGTTTTTGACAATATTTAACTCAACGAGTTCAGCCATATTTAATTCCAACACGCTGACTGTCTCAGTCCGTGGCTCGTGCCAATAGCATTTCTTTTTCCTGGCAGAGGTGTGCTCATGATTTATCAAAGCTTCACGAGAAACAGTGCGCGCTGCACCTAAGGTCTTTGAACTCCAATCGATCCATGGCTCATGGCGTTCTAGCCAAGACAAACCAAGGATAAGATCGTATCTCTCATTCAAGGCAAGGACTAGACAGCGTTCGATTCTTTCAAAGTCCGAAAAGTTCACGCCTAAGCTCACAGGAACTTTGGGCATAGTGTCAAATGCATTTGTCGCCAAGCGAACTGTGATAGTCTCATTCTTTCGCGCTTTTAGCGCCTCAGTATACTGCTGACTACCTTCCAGGGAACAACTTCGGACGCAATTACCATGCATGGAGTCGATCGACATCGACCATGGCTTATTAAAGCCTTTCGCTATTTCTTTCGCGACAAAGAAACCTGTCTTTTACGTATGCTTCGTGACATTGTGCACGAAGCCACTTGGTGGTAGGCCCTGCTCTCTATCACCTCCAAAGGTACAAAAGAGCCTAATTCTCCCCAGCAGGGAGCGCCGCGCCCTGCTGGGAGTTGACGTTTTCCCGCGCTTTACCGACTCGTTGGTTAGCAACAGAAGGTCAACTCAAACGAGCCTTTATGGTATTTTTTAAAAACAAAGAGGGCGAAGGTACTTGATGCTACCGTACGTAAACATTTACGGATGTTCGAACGCTGTTTGACGGCGTAAAGCTAAGCTTCTTCGTCTCTCCCAGCGAGACAAAGGTCCATGGGCTTTGCCTTATCCATAAGCTGAGCATTACTCGACGTGTTCGCTTAAAATCTATGAGTTCTGTAACGAGCAGCTTTAAAGTTAAAACTTGCGTTAAACGCTATTTCTACTGCATCTTCAAATGTCAATGGTTGTGTACGAAACACTACTGTCCTGGCAACGCCAGTGCGAAGACCCTCCATAGAAATGATTACCAAAACTATCTAAGGTAAAGGGTCAAGTTGCATAGCAGCAACAAAAGTTCGCAGCTCTTATACATAATTGGCAAAGTCCTTTTACCCTGGCGGGTTGACAGTAAGCGTGATTGCACGCGACATGCCTGATTAGGCGGATCAAACACCCGAGATAGCTGCTTTTTTAGCATGTCCCAGGTGAGAAAAG